AGTAGTGAATAAAGTTGAAATTCTGACTCATTCTCAAGAAGTCTGTCCTTATCCTTACTGAAACAGGCAGACAGGGACTGCCTGACCCATGTAGCTTCAGTAGATAGAAGAAGAGGAACCCAAGCATTCTGCCCCACTACTCTGCCACAGTGCTTTAAAGTCACTTTGTCAACTTATTTGTATTAATGCCTTTTTTTTCCTATCAAGATGCATCAACTGTTTCCCTTGTAACAGTAAGCAATTCTCACAAGTTGGAGAAGTTTCCATTGACTTACCAATTATTTTTCTGAGGCACATCTTCTAGACTATCTGGGTAAATAGAAGGCAGGCCTGGACGCCTAGGGTAGAGCAAACAACCCGGGCCAGTGGATAAAACCTTTCTGAACCAAGATGCCTAGGCACAGATCCTGTCCAGTATTAAGTAGTGGTCGCCTGTACCACCATTTCGTCATTTAGGTAAGAAAAGATGTTACCAAGAGGACCTGCCTCTGCTGGGTGGGGCAGTGAATAATGGAGACAATTCGCAGCATGTGGGCCAGGCATAAGGTGAGCCCTTTACAAATGTTCCTTTCTGTTCCTATTTGGGAGGATGACAGAAGACTTTGTCCTGGGTACCGTTTTACTATCTGCTTCTCCTCTCCTAAGGTCCGCATGAAGTTGACATAGTCCAGGGAGGATAAGCAGCTTACCCAAGGATAGGAGGACCTCCTAAGGAAGAAGCTAAGAAGGGATTTGATCAAGAGGATGAGATCAGGAGAAATCAGTCAACTGTAGCGTGTGTCCAGTGGGAAGATTAAGGAGCTCAGACCCTTGTGAACTTTCCCCTGAGAGACAATTCCACGTCCTCTCTCGGGTGTGCACGGTTGTGAAAACAAATGCCACCTTCTGACACAGATTCCCGCCCGGCCCCTTCCACCCGGCCCGGCGCCTGGGCGTACTCCCTCAATCTGGCACGGAGCATCAACCCGCTGCCTGGCTGGGGAGGCCGAGTCAACAGCGAGGTGGATGGGAAAAGTGACACAATCGGGACCCGTCTCCCGGAACGCCAGACTCCCACGCCGCGCGGGGCAGCCTCGGGCCCTCTGGGGGTGTGGTGCTGGTGCTGGTGGCGGCGGCGGCGTGGCTGCGGTCTCCCCGGCCGCGCGCGCGCGCCCGCAACACTCCAGGCCCCGCGTAGCCGAGGCCCGGGCCTGGGCGGCCGAGGCTCACTTTTCAGGAACGCCGTGGTTGTGCGGCGGTAGCCGGGCCGACTCTCCGGGCAGCCGCCGCCGCCGCCGCCCCCCAGAGATCCATGATGGAGTCTTGAAAGACTATCACCAAATATGGGCCGGGGCTGGAAACGTCCTGCGCCGCGCGCCGCCGGAAACCTCCGGTCTTGGCAACGCGGGCTGGGCGCACGCAGGCCGGCGGCCGGCAGGGGGCGGCGGGGGCGGCGGCCGCGGTAGCAGGCGCCGGCAATGCTCGCGCGTCTCTGGCCGACCCTGGTGGCCCCCCGGCCCGCGTCCTCTCGCCCGCGTCCCCCCTTGCCTGCGGGCTCCACGGGGATGCTGGGCCGAGAGGGCCTCACCTGGTATCTGCCACTCAGTTCCTTGCTGTCGGGGCCACCAGAATCCTGGCTTTCCGGGGCGCCCCGGGAGATCACTATCCCGGGATGGGTGGTAATGGAGTACTTATGACAGTGAAAAGGGGGGCAGGCAGGGGAAACGAGATGGCTCAGGGGTGCTCACAGAAAGCTGTCCTCTTGCAGAGACTACATACATTGTTCATTAAAGTGGCCATAAAAAAAAAAAAGTTGAGTTGTGGGACTGAGTGTGCAGGCTGATCCTGGGGACACACGTACACAGAGAGCTAGTACAGGCTAGGGGCGTCCGGGGTAGAGGGTGTCAGGGTGTGACCCCCCGCCTCCCAGCTAGCAACACCATCACCTAAGGACTTGTTCAAAGGTAACGAATCTGAACTCTAGGGCGGGGCCTAGCAATCCCACTTGCAACCAACCCTCCAGGTACTTGTGTAGCACGCCCCTAAGTTAGAACCAGTGGACCTAGGGGTGGGGAGCCGGAGTAGCAGAGTATGGGGTTCTGACTCGGCTCAGTTGCAGCCTGACAGTGAAACCTTTGAGTGACCTACAGTTCATTGGTAGCTGTTAGTGAAAGGTGCCCCATAGCTCAGCCCCAAGCTAGGAGCTGCAGGGGACACGCAGCCCCTTCTCCGTGGTTTGTAGCCCCAGTGAAACTAGGTGGTCCGTTACCCCTCCTTCCTGCACCCACAAAGCGTTAGAGAGACAAGCAGAGAGTAGAATTAGTACCCGAAGCAACACTTACCCACACCATTTGCATATTTCTCTTCCTATCTGTGAACCGATCAGCAGCACTCAGCCTGCGGCGAGAAGGCGACTGGACGTCTGGGGTCTCCTGGCCATTCCGGGGCTGGACGCGAGGAGCCACTATTTCGTTTGCCCAAACAAAGCAGGACAGAGCACAAGCACGACGGCTACACCAACTTCTCTGGTTCCCCTCACTCCGGGAACTGTAGCTCCCGCTTCCCACCCCCTCCCACCCCACATCCTTTGCTTTCCACGGGCTGCTGACGGGAAAGTTCTCTTAAATTTCGTCTCCAAGATTCCCCAGTTGAAATCCAAAAGAACAAAACCTGCACACTCTCATTAGAAAGCTTTAATCTGATTTTTAAAGGAATCTCTGGAATGGCCTGCCTGTTTAAACGTTGTGCAGAGACTGGACCTCTCTGTCTCTCCATCCTCTCCCCCCCCCCCCCCAACCATAGAGAAACAAGGTGTATGCCATCTGTGCAATTTTATTTTAAATCCTGATAGATTGCGTGAAAAACAAGGAATTCCAAAGAATTTCATGCTCTGGGAACAGAAGTTAAGTCTATATTTAACAACATTTGAAGCTGTCAAGAATGCTTTGTGGTTGGATAACAGAGGCAGAAAAATGTTAAAAACGCAGGCTACTGCTATACCCAAATATGGAAATATTGTTACGTCTGGTGTCTGATTCACCATCTGGAAATACTTACAACCATGAAGTCAAATAGAAAGGACGCCACAACAGCAGCCAGGAACCCTCCTCTCTCTCCCCCTCACTCCCTCTCCCCCCCCCCCCCCCCCCCCGTATTTGTGTGTGTATTTCTCCATCACCTCTTCCACTGAACTCTCCTTCTCACTCCCTCTCTCCCCCTCCCCCCATTTGTGTGTGTATTTCTCCATCACCTCTTCCCCCTCAGTGCTTTGTACATAGCCTACTCCCCTTGAGCCCCCAAGGACACAATGAACCTCTAAGGCAGGGAGGAAAATGAAAATGTGTTCTCATAGATGAAATAGCTTGATTAAGGGATAGGGCCCAGACTTTTCTCCCTTTATTTGCATAACACCTGACAATCCATTGTCTAGAAAAGTCCCCCCCCCCTTTGAGACTTATGGAAGGTCACTTTTGAATGAATGAACTTAACTCTCCCCTCCATTGGAGTTTTTGTCCAACGGTCTTTGTTGCGCTCATCAGAATCTTTCACAGAAAAATCAGCATCAAGGCCTTCTTAAGCCAGACTTTTAAAGTTTAGAAAATTAGACTATGTATTAAAAAAGGAAGAATAGCTATTCCAGAGCACATAAAAAAATGGAACCTGATGTAATTATTTGTTTTATTAATTAAAATGACCAAGGAAGATCAGTGGTTTTTTTCTTTTCAAGGGAAGTTTACCAATTACACTATTGGTGATGTTCACGTAATTTGCTTTTGTAAGAGATCTTCTGTGTGCCTTGCATGTGGAGCTGTATCTTAAACATCGCTTTGCATTTTTATTCAACAAGTCTACACTCTAAACTCCTATTTCTTCACGTGGGGAGAAAGGCATTGCAATTCACTTATTGAAATGGAAGGCTTCCAAGTGGTCCCAAGGAAAGGATTTAACAGACCCCTGCAAAACTTCCAGCTTTAAGGAGTCTCCTTTTTCCTGACATCTACCGGGCCAATGGTACTAACTGGAGTGTGTTTGGGTCTGGCAGTGTTCGCAGGTGGTGAGTTCAGGCCAAATCACTGCACTGGCGGTCCCCTGGTCTTCTGGCTCGCAGCTCAGTTCGGCCGAGCAAGGCTGGGAGGGCTTACCCTCTCTCCCGCATCCGTGAGGAAGTGTAAGTCAGCCTCCCGGAGAACTCCCTGCGCTCGTTTCCTCTAGGACTTCCAACTCAGGCAGTGGGCTGGAACTAAAGTGGGAACCTCCAAAAACAAACAAGCACAACATACCAAAAAAGGGAGGCGGTGGTGGGGGAAGACCTCGGCCTGGGACTGTGCCAGACCCTGAAGGAAGTTGATCACCCTTCCCCCACCCCCTCTCATTCATAAATGCCACCGTGGGTATTAATTTGCAATACACTTAACTTGGCTAATAAACATCATACCAGAGCTTTGGGACTTGATCCGAGCTTGCCTCTTTGAAGTCCACAAATAGATTCTTGGCTTAGAGTGACCGACTCCCCCTCCCCGTTGGGCTCTCCATAGATCACTTGAATCTCACCTTCCCTGTAAACACGCAAACAATCTGCTTTCCCGAGGGAGGGGTTCGGTGGCTGCCCGGTCAGCTGGGCATCACCACACAAAACGACTTTTGTTCCTCCCTCTCAGGTCCTCCCACCTTCCCAGTCCAGGCAAAGGTCTGAATAACGTCCTCTCCCCTGCCCCCCTACGACGACCCTTCGATCACCATCGCGTCTCAAACTTCCCTCCCTAGTGGAAGCCGTTAAAGTGGAAAAAACGCACTGTTTTCTCTGTGGGTCCGAGGCCAAAAAAGAAAAAAAGAAAAAGAAGAAGAAAAAAAAAGGTGCAATGGAGCCAGGGGAGGTGCTTGGCAGCAGCCCGCGCCAACCAACATTCCTGAGATGTTTGAGAATTCTGGAACGCACAGACAGAGCCGACGTCACTGCAACACGCGGCGGCGCCGCTGGCCGGCATATAAAGGCGGGCCCGGGGCGCCTGGGCAGACCGCGATCGAGAGCGTCCTGGAGCAGCTCCCGTGCCTTCCGCGCCTCCTGTGTGCCAGGACCCCAAGAGAAGGACGCCCGCAGCCGCTCTCCGCCTGGCTCTTCGCCTCTCTGTCCACCGGCCCTCCGCCCCGCGGCTCGGATCCATCTGCTCGGGGCCTGTCCGCTGCGCGCCGGCTTCTGGCTGTCTTGGCCTCCGCGCTCTCCCCGGTTCCTCCTGCGCGCCACAATGAGCTCCAGCACCGCCAGGACGCTCGCCGTCACCGTCACCCTTCTCCACTTGACCAGGCTGGTGAGTTGGACCTTTGGGCCACCGCTTTTCTGTCCACTCTCGAATCCCCTTCCTTTGGCTCACGTTATCCATGGCAGGAAACGCTAGGTTAAAAAGTTTGGGGTGTGGGGGGGAAGGGGGCCTTTTGGAGGTAGCTGTTTCTTTAAGCCCCCCCTCCCCCGAGAAATGGAGGGGGGGGATGTAAGAGGGGACTCTCAGTGGGTTGCAGCCGCCAGGGTGGCCAGGCCGGCTGGACGCGATCAGAATCTCCCGTCCACACGAGTCGAGGGACCCCGGTCTTTTCCTCGAGCCACTTTGGCGCCTCTTCTCACCCGCACCGACACTCACGCGTTTCTTCTGCCGCTTTCCAGGCTCTCTCCACCTGCCCTGCCGCCTGCCACTGCCCCCTGGAGGCACCGAAGTGCGCCCCGGGCGTCGGGCTGGTCCGGGACGGCTGCGGCTGCTGTAAAGTTTGCGCCAAGCAACTCAACGAAGACTGCAGCAAGATGCAGCCTTGCGACCACACCAAGGGGCTGGAATGCAATTTCGGCGCCAGTTCCACCGCTCTGAAGGGGATCTGCAGAGGTAAGATGCTTGCGGCTTGGCCCCTTTAAAAAAATAATAGTCCCCATAGTCCAGAAGTTTAGTAATTTTGAGACCATGTATGGTGATGCTTTGTTGTTGGTAGCTTGGCAGAAAGGCACATGATTTCAGCAGTCTGGAATGCAATTCAGTGTGTCTGGGCCCAACGAAAAGCGCATACGGAAAAGTGATTCCTGACTAACTTATTGTTCTGGTCTGGAGTCTCTCGGGAGAATTGTTAGGGAACTTTACCATACATTGAATTTTAATAGCAGGAAAAAAAAATATGTGTGCGTCCAAGGCCCTGCTTGGGACTCTTCACTTCATGCTCTTTCTCTTTCGATGATCTTTGCAGCTCAGTCAGAGGGCAGACCCTGTGAATATAACTCCAGAATCTACCAGAACGGGGAAAGCTTCCAACCCAATTGTAAACATCAGTGCACATGTATCGATGGCGCAGTGGGCTGCCTGCCGCTCTGTCCCGAAGAACTCTCTCTCCCCAACTTGGGCTGCCCCAACCCCCGCTTGGTGAAAGTGGCCGGGCAGTGCTGTGAGCAGTGGGTGTGTGACGAGGTTGGTGCCTTGGACGACCAGGACGACCAGGACGATCGCGATGGCCTGGAGGACCTCCTCAGCCAGGGGCTGGGCTTCGATGCCTCGGAGCTGGAGTTAACGAGAAACAATGAATTAATTGCGGTTGGGAAAGGCAGCTCGCTGAAGCGGCTCCCTGGTAAGTAGAGACGGAACCCTGAGGAGCAAGTCCTGAAATGCTTTCCTAGTTAGAAGTTTTTGTAGAAATGAACGTGTGAGTCTGTGTATGCCCGCGGGCCTCTGAACAGTCTTCCTTTCTGTCTCTGTTTGTAGTCTTCAGCATGGAACCTCGGATCCTTTACAACAACCCTGTGCATGGCCAGAAATGTATCGTTCAAACAACTTCATGGTCCCAGTGCTCCAAGACCTGTGGAACTGGTATGTCCACACGAGTCACCAATGACAACCCTGAATGCCGCCTGGTGAAAGAAACCCGGATTTGTGAAGTGAGGCCTTGTGGACAATCCGTGTACAGCAGCCTGAAAGTAAGTTTCTTTGGGGACCTGTACATTGATCCCCAGCAAGTAGGCAGGATAAGGACCCCCTTTCAGAAAAAGAAAGAAAGAGAGAAAGCCCATTCCTCATATTCTTTTCTTTCCCCCCCTTCCCTCTTTCTTGCAGAAGGGCAAGAAATGCAGTAAAACCAAGAAATCTCCCGAACCAGTCAGGTTTACTTACGCTGGATGTTCCAGTGTGAAGAAATACCGGCCCAAGTACTGTGGCTCCTGTGTGGATGGCCGGTGCTGCACACCCCAGCAGACCAGGACGGTGAAGATGAGGTTCCGCTGCGAAGATGGGGAGACATTTTCCAAGAATGTCATGATGATACAGTCCTGCAGATGCAACTACAACTGCCCGCAGGCCAACGAGGCAGCGATTCCTTTCTACAGGCTATTCAACGACATACACAAATTTAGGGACTAAATGCTATCTGGGTTACTGGCAGGATGGAAAGGAGGAGAGAGGTGTGTGAGAGGATCACGGAGACATGGGTGGGGGCGGTGGGGTGAAGGGACTCATTGTAGAAGGAATACCTTGCTCATTCTTGGAATGGCATGAAGTATTTCCAAACTGCTAAGGGGGCTGGTGGGATGGACACTTAATGCAACCGCGATTGAAGAATACTTCGCTTCATAGTATTGGAGCACATGTTACTGCTTCATTTTGGAGCTCGTGGTGTTGATTGATGACTTTCTGTTTTCTGTTTGTAAATTATTTGCTAAACATATTTTTTTCCCTCTAGGCTTTTGTTTCCCCCTTTGATTTCTGCGATTGTAATAGAGATAAGACTAGTTGGGCAGTGAACGCTTTGTTTGTTGTATGTCAGGAGTAACTGGAAGGGCCTTCCATCCCTTCCAGAATGGGGGAGACACTCTGTGAGTGTCCCAGAGAGGCAGCTACCTGCACTCTTAACTGCAAACAGAAATCAGGTGTTTTAAGACTGAATGTTTTATTTATCAAAATGTAGCTTCCGGGGAGGGAGGGGAAATGTAATACTGGAATAATTTGTAAATGATTTTAATTTTATATTCAGTGAAAAGAATTTATTTATGGAATTAATCATTTAATAAAGAAATATTTACCTAATACCAGTGTATGCTATTCAGTATTTTTAGAAACTATCTGAAGTTATTAGGAACAGTGTGGTTCCAATAAATCCAACAGGATTTTTCAAGTGCTTAGCAGGTGTCAGGAACTATTCTAGGTACCTAGATTGCAGTTTGCTAACTTTTGAAAGAAAATTGCATAATAATTGCCTTTAAATTTTTTTAAGAGAAAAATTGCTTATAAGGCCATCCAATTGATAGACAGGTATTGAGCTGGGCACCAGTGGCTCACTCTTGTAATCCTAGCTATTCAGGGGGATGAGAGCTGAGGATCATGGTTCAAAACCAGCCCAGGCAGAAAAGTCTGTGAGACTCTTACCTCCAATAAACTACTCAGAAAAGTCCAGATGTGGCACTGTGGCTCAACTGGTAGAGCACTAAGAGGTTCAGGGAAAGAACCCAAACCCTATGTTCAGGCTCCAGGACTGGTTTGTGGTTTTTTTTTTTTTTTTTTTTTTTTTAATTTAAAGACAAGTATTGAGTATAAGCATTGTGTGAAGGATACAAGAAAGAAGCTGAAACTCAATTTGTGATTTCAATTGAATACAATGGTTTACTTTTATAAGAATTCAAAGTTTAAAGTCTCCACTCTGTGAGCAAGGTGTGGTAAGTCATTATGAAAATATGTCATATGCCTGCCCACCTCTAAATCCATGGGAAAGATGGGCTACAATTGAAGAGTGTATTGTAAAAGATTGCTTGTGTAAAACTTTATATTTTTCCAATATCATTCTTAAGAAATAAGACAGCTACTTAAAATTCACCCCTGATTGGTATTAGAGACAAAGATCTCAAGATCTATGGGAGTCTGGTTTCAATAGATGAGTTTGAAGCAAGGATTTGTGTTAATCTTAATAAGCTGATGATGTAAAGGAATGCGAGGAATTTCAAGTACTTTTCCAATAGCTGATTCAGAACCCAGCCACCCCACCCCCTTTCTTTTTATAATATACATTATATTGATGGGAGAAGGAGCAGTTTGATAGAGCTGGCTCTCCAGAAGGTCAAAGGCTAGACACAGAGCATTCCTAAAAGAAAAGGACTCAGCCAAAGGTCTAGGAGAGGTGGAGAAGGCTCCATCAATGTTTGTGAAAATGGTAGTAGCCTGTGTTAGAAAAATCTACATCTTTAGAAAACACTAACAATAAACCTTTTATAGAGAGTTTTCCTTTCACATCAATCCTGGCTCCTGTTCAAATCCATAGTGAGATATTTCAGCCTGCACTTGGTTAAGAGAGTACTTGAATTTTTTTTTAGCCACAAGAAGAAAATGCTTGAAGAATGGGAGAGGAGGCCAGCTCCTGGGATTCTGTAGGACATTTTTCAAAACAGATTAATACTGATGCTCTCAGGAAGACTTTCAGAAAAAACTTTACTTAAGCATCTGTTTTATGCCTCATGAAATCATAGAGGAATACGTATACCCTCTTCTGCTAGGAATACCTATACTGTCTCTGTTTTGAACAATATCTTGACTGAAACACCACAAGTTGTAACTTTCAGAAGAACCAGTTGTTCTCACCTCAGGAACTTAAACTTAGAATATTCTCGGGTTAAAATACCATCTGGCTCAATCCTAGGTGCAGTTGAACTTGCCATTGCAACACAACATGTGAAACATAATAAAGGTGTGAGGTTTTTGTGGTGCAATGTTGTTGAACAGACACTGAAATCTAGGCAAGATTTATACATTCCCAAGCACCAGTCTGAGGTTATTGCTTTCCAACTCTTAGTGCCAACAAATTGCTTCTCATGCTGAGACGTAGAAGCAATATTTTATACATTAAGTGTGTGGGCAGGTAATATTTTTCCCAAATTAGCTCAGATATGAAACAAAATCTACTATAGGAAAACATTGGATCTTTGAGTCAATTTAATCTCATCCCAGTAAATAAAATGCAGGTAACTGCCAAATGCCAAATCTATTTATAGTAGGAGTGCTCGATTAGTTAAAATAAAAGAGGAAAAATAGCCGGGGGCCAGTGGCTCATGCCTGTAATCCTAGCTACTAAGGAGGCTGAGATCTGAGGATCATGGTTCAAAGCCAGCCCAGGCAGGAAAGTCCATGAGACTCTTATCTCCAATAAACCACTCAGAAAACTGGAAGTGGCACTGTGGCTCAAGTGGTAGAGTGTAGCCTTGAGCTGAAGAGCTGAGGGACAGCACCCAGGCCCAGGGTTCAAGCCCCATGACCGACCAAAAAAATAAAATAAATAACATAAAGGAAAAATAAAGTAGAAGTGAATGTCCATTTGTCTAGCTATAGAAAATACTGAAAAATTAAAAGTAATTGATAGTAAAATTATAACATTTAGAACATATCTGTGCCTGGAATGGAGCTCTGCCTACTTCAACTAGTGAGAAAGCAAAACTCATGCAGCAAGCATTCTGTAAAATATAATGTATATAATCCTAACATCATTGCCAAGCACAATCTATATAGATATTTGGTTGTTCTGACTTTCCAATTCTGGTATGTCTTTTGGGTAGAAATTTAACAACTAAGGTTTCTAGGAGGACTCAGAATCTCAGGCATTCTGTGAATTCTAAGAAATACTCTAGGAGACATTTGTGGTCCAGTAAGTGGTCCTAATGGGATGATGTCTCACGTGAACATTATGTACTGTCCACTCCACAAAGAGACATAAGAGAGTCAAAATTAGCAAAGCATATTTTAGGGTTATTTTTTCCAGTAGTTGGAACATATTTTCTCTATTCACTATGTCTTCTCCCAGTCTTCTGGCACTATTTGAAAGTCGGTTGAGCAATAGCATTAGTTCAATATGACCACAGTAGAGTAGAGCTGTGTCCTGGGCAAAATGGCAGGTAATTCTGGGGGTGGGGAGGGGTGGGGGGAAGCTCACACCGGAATCAAGAGACCTGTCTTTTATGATACCAGTTCTGCCCTTATGTTATCAGGGAACTCTGGGGAAAATTCTGGATCATTCTCTTTTATGTTAATGTGGAAAAGAAATCACTTACAGTGTTTTTGTCAATTAAAAAAAAATTTATGTACTCTTTGGTGTGGTGAATTTCATGCTTTACAAAGTGTCTCCTCAAGTATAGGGAGAAATTCCCAGATCATTCTGTGATCAAATATCCATGAAGTCTTTGAAATGATAATGCTCTTAACCCTCCAAAGCACCCTGGATTACACGTGTCCGTCCCCGCAATATCTCTGTAGACAGGTACATACTTGTAACTCACTGAATAGCTCTCATATCTGTGCTGCATTAAGTCCCTGACATAGAGACAGATGCTTTAAGAACAGAACACATATTACAGCATGACAATGATGCATGTATCCCAGGAATAAATTATATGCATTTGTGCAAATTTCATCAGTGCTGGGTAATACTCACTGCAATCTTGTAAAATACAATTCACTTAACAATTACTCAGATACATTCATTAGTTCTTTGTAGTTCTGCATATTTTGTTCCTATATTCTTCTGAATCCACCCCTTTTTCTGCTCCAGTGCAAATGTCCACATCTAAGCCACCACCATTGCCTAAATTACTGAAGTGGCTTCTTCACTCATAATATAATGTATTTTCCAGAGGTGGCTATGATGGTATTTCTCACTGCACTTGACCTTCTGTAATGTGACCCTTTGCTCGATAATCAATAGGTATGGTCTATTTCTCCACCTTCCCAAATGTGGATAAGTCTTTGACTGCTTTGATCAATAAATACAGAGGAGGGACTGGGAAGGTGGCTCAGTGGTAGAGTGCTTGCCTCACATGCATGAACCCCTGGATTCGATTCCTCAGTACTACATACAGAAAAGGCTGGAAGTGGCACCGTGGTTCAAGTGGTAGAGCTAGTGCTAGCCTTGAGCTGAATAGCTCAGGGACAGCACCCAGGCCTAGAGTTCAAGCCCCATGACAGACCCTTCCCCCCCCCCCCCCAATTGTTTTTTTAAATACAGAGGAAGAAATGCAATGTGATGGCAGGTCCTAGTGGAGCTCTAGATAGGAGCTCTTACCCCTTTTCTCTTGGAAACAAGCATCCTTGATAACAGCAGGCTGTGAGAAGCCCAAATCCGAGATGTAGGCCCTAGAGGAAAACTTGCCCTGTGGGGAATGAGAAGGATCAGGTAGCATGAGGACATAATGTTTGCATATTAGAAGCCATCTTGGAAGTTGATCCTCTAGCTTCATTCATATTGGCTAATATTTCATGAACTGCTCCATTGTGTCCTTTCACCTGATCCAAAAGGTAGTGAAAAAAGTAATGTGGCAATCTGGAGGTGGTAAGTTTGGAGCTTGATTATGCATCAATACAAAACCAAAACATTATTTGTTTCCATTCTTGTCCTCCAACAACCCATTCTCCTAACAGGAACCCAAATAACTCTTTTAAAATGTAAATCAGAATATGTCAATCCTCGGCTTAAAGGCTCTAATGGCTTCTTGTTAGTCTTGGTATAAGGTTCAGCTTCTTTTCTGGCACACAAGTCCTGGCACTTGCCTACCTGTTACCAGGCACCCACATGCACTATAGTTCCAATGGCCTGTGCCATTTCCTTAGAAAAAAGCCAAGCAAGTTGCTCCCAGGTCCTTTTGCATTCACTTTTCTCTGCCTGAGCGAGAATCCTTTCCCAGTAAATCTCAACACAAATGTTATCTTCCTTAAAACTTCCTCATTATCCAGCTAAAGCACTTCATTACATCAAGAACTTTGATTTTCATCACATCCTCAGTACTGCCTGATAAGTTCATATATCAATATGAACATATATATAAGAATTATTTAACATATATATTGTTCCCTTTCCAGAATAAATTCTATAAGAGCAGAAAATTTTGCCTGTCTTTTTTTTAGCCACCATAAAAGCATGCCTGGCATAAAATCCATGCTTATAAATATAAAAAATAAATGTTAAAACTAAATCAGGGAGTGGTCCCTCCTGGCCCAAAACCTTTCTTATTTTAGCTCATCTTGAATTTTTCCCAACCCAAGGGTTAATCATTTGC